ATTTCATTTATGAATTAAACAGTGTATCTCCTTGTGAAAATGGAAGGAGGAGATTCATTTTTATCATGTGCAGTGACTTTAGAATGGATGACACAAGGATCTATTACGAGAAAAGTAAATTACAAGACTGCTTCGCTTCGGTTAATACGAAACGAATTTCGAGAGATGTTTATGGAGATTACAAGTGAGAAACATGCTGCTATTAGGTTTGCTTTGAAGAGTGTAAATGTTTTTAAGAAGTTCATGGTTGAAGGTAAGGCCAGCATAAAGTTTCAAGAAGCTGGTTGCACTTTGTTTATATCCAATGCGCCGCCTACTAACCTCGTGGGTTTCTTGCGAACAATATTCGTTAAAATGACTGGAGACAAAGATCAAGGCAGTAACACAACACCTGCAAAGCAGACGATGCGGACTAAATTGTTAAGTAACAAAGCTCAAGCCTTTGAGGAAATAAGTCCAGTTACTGTGGCGGATATCCATAATGCTAAGAAGAAAATCCCTAAATCTACGTTGACAACTCCTTCGCCGCCGGCAAAGAAACGTAAAAATGAGGATAGTGTGAAAGGTCCTGCTCCAAAGAAGTTGTATTCTCCATCACCATTGACTAACACTTGTTCTTTGAACCCTGAGCAGCAGAGAGTGTTGAATGCTTGTCTCAGGGGGAAGAACATATTCTTTACTGGCTCTGCAGGAACAGGCAAGAGCTTTCTATTGAAGAGAATTGTGACTGCCTTGCCACCAGATGTCACTGTTGCTACTGCTTCCACTGGTGTTGCTGCTTGCCATGTTGGTGAGTATCCTAAATGTTTTGTATTCTTCAAAAGAACTCTGATTTAGTACCTGATGAACTTGTGATTGACAACTAATTAACTATATCTTTCCTTTATTTCAGGTGGGACAACTCTTCATGCATTTGCTGGTATAGGAGATGGTAGTGGAACCTTGGAACATCTCTGTGAGAGAGCCATGAAACTGCCACTGGTAGCACAGAGGTGGAGGAAATGTAAACACCTCATTATTGATGAAATATCCATGGTTGATGGTGGTTTCTTTGAGGTAATGTCTATTTAATTAGTGATGATAATGATTAATTAATGACAAAATGATATTAGGTAGAACATTGAGACATTTACAGTCCCGGCATACATCAAAGAGGCTATAACTAATTTATAAAATTTGTTTTCAGAAATTGGAGGCCTTGGCAAGGCATGTAAGGAAAAATGACAAACCATTTGGTGGAATACAGCTTATATTATGTGGTGACTTCCTGCAGTTACCACCAGTAGTGGATAAGGGCAAGAATGGGAAGAGATTCTGCTTCCAGTCAGCTTGCTGGGATAAATGTATTCAACTGTGTTTTGAACTTAAACAAGTTCATAGACAGAAAGACTCAGAATTTATTTCTATCCTTAACAGCATTAGGATTGGTAGAGTTACTAAAGAAATTAGTGACCGTCTTGTTGGGACATCTCGACAGAATATTGAGAGTGATGGCATTCTAGCTACAAGGTTGTGCTCACATACAAATGACTCAAAAATGATAAATGATTCCAAGCTTAGTGACTTGGATGGTGAAGAGAAAATATTTACCTCCCAAGACAGTGATAATGCCACCAAACTACTTGACATGCAAACTATTGCTCCCTCAAAATTGTTACTTAAAGTGGGGGCTCAAGTGATGCTTTTAAAAAATGTTAATGTTAATGCTGGTCTAGTGAATGGGGCTAGAGGTGTTGTTGTAAGGTTTGAGGAAGGGTTTCCAGTCGTAAGATTTAAAAATAAAAAGGAATACACAGCAAGAACTGAGCGTTGGTATGTTAAAAATTCGAATGGATCATTACTGTGTCGACGACAAGTTCCTTTGAATCTTGCGTGGGCATTCTCTATACATAAATCTCAAGGTTTGACTCTAGATTGTGTAGAAATGTCTTTATCTAAAATATTTGAGGCTGGCCAAGCATATGTGGCCTTAAGTAGAGCACAAAGTCTAGATACCCTGAGAGTCCTAGATTTCGATTCGCGCCATGTTTGGGCCGATCCTAACGTGCTAGAATTCTACCAAAGGTTTAGACGACGTTTGCAACAAATGGAAGTAATTCCTCTTGGTAGACCTTTGTCTGATAAAACAAACAGGAAATTAAAATTGAGGGAAATATTAGAAAAACAGATGAAACAGAGATAGTGATTGCTATCTTTAAATTAAGTAAACATAATTTATTTATTGTCACTATAATTTTATTATGATCATGATTCTTAACTGTGAGACTGAATGTGTTCAGGGGTATTCCTCAAAATGCACCAAATACTAACCATATTTTCTGTAAGCTTTTAAAATCCTTAATGCTCATCTCTATTTTTCATCATTAGTGTTTCCAAGAATATTTTGCTTTTTGAGGAATATCCCCAATAATAAACATTAACTATATTTTATATATAAGAGTAACTAAAATAAGTAAATAAAAGAAAAATAATTTATTTAATGACATGTTTTATTTAACTCGATCATTGAGTCTGAAAGTCCTATTATGTTAAAAATAAATTGTGGCTTCAACTGCCCTTTATAATGCTCCTATCTTGATTCCACAGAAGTCAGTATCTCAATTTGTTCTTCAAGTGTGGCATGCTTCTCTTGGAGACATTTCACAACATATCTTAGAGACTCAATTGTATGTTCATTTTCCCTTTTAGCAACTTTTGCTTCTTCAGAATTATTCTGAAGAATTTCCACATGTTTCTTTGTCTGGACAACCAAGTCCATTAGTCTGTTGTTCAAATGTTCTTGTTTTTTTACCATGAGCCATAACACAGCCTCTTTTGGGGCATCTGGAGTGCACTTTAGGTCATCAGAAACAAATGCATCCAGGTCAGCTGGTTCTTTCAGTTTGCTCATACTGGTTTTAATGTTGGCTGTCAGCTCGGCCTGTGTAAGTTTGTGCAGTAACCTGTCTATCCTGGTTCTTGGTGGATCCTGGAAAATTTACCGATACAATATAATTACAATCATTGTAATGATATATTATAATGTTGAAACTAAATTACAGAATAAACACACAAACTTCTACAATATCAAGGTCTGCCTGAAAAAACTAAAACTGCTTTATTTCATAGGTTAATATTAGACATACTATTTTAAGATAAGGATGGATAGTAAAATAACTGTAACAACTTGATTATGGTTAGAAATCAATAGTAACTACAGAATTAAATATAATATTCACACATGAAATTAGTCTTGACTTACATAGCGTGGTTCATTTTCATAAGACTTGGTTGCCAAACCCTTTTTATTAAGTGTAAGCTTGGGAGATTTTTTTGCAACAAGTTTGCTTGGCAGTAATTGTAATGAATCTAGCTTCATGTGTTTATTCTGTGGCTAAACATAGCAATATTATGATAGATCCAAGCTAAAGCAATTATATGAAAATGACAATGTACTAGTGGTATATAATCATAGTAAATTTAATGTTATTATCACGTAAGTTGGAATAGTCAAATTGTAACTATGATTGGTTTATTATACATAAATATTATTGGGCACTAGATCCGCAAAACTATAGACATTTCAGATCACAGTGGCGGGAGACTGTGGGCTGATAGATGAAAAATTGTGAAAATTAGGATATTTAAATTACTATTGAATTACCTTCACAGATTTTGCAACAGCAAGTTTTGGCAGAGAAGGTGCAAAGATAGTAGGCACTGCATTTTCCTTCAGTTTTCTTTGAGAATCAAAGAATTTTGGTTCAAAATGTTTTGAACAGATTTGGCTTTTGTACCAGTCTAACATGGAACATTTATTTTTTAACAATCTCAGCCATCGCTTGCGCATTTCATTAGTTGTTGGACATCTGTAAACAGAAGTATTTACTACACATTAATATGTTCCTGGTTAAGGTTGCATACTACAAAATTATAAGTCGCAGTGATCGATGCCGAACGCATACAAATGGTCCGATGGGACCGATCTGAAAGTTATTGGGGGAGTCCGACAGCGGATGTGTTGCAGTTACAAATATGATAATACTAAAGTAGTCTGTGATGTAGAGTCAGTGTGGACAATAAATTCTAAATATTATACGGTTAGCTTTAACTTACGGATGAAACGAAACTCCTGGCGGTTTGTTTAATATAGTTGTTCTGCAGTTTTCAATGGCACAGTGAGTAGCCGACATTGAAGACATCGTGGTATGGTACGTAAGATACGTGCGTAATTATTCTTCACTGCTTTAATGTTTTCAAAAGTGGTTCTAATGAAAACAAAATTAGCCGTATGATAAATGATTCCAACAGAAACCAAACAATGTGTTTATTGTAATTCCATCTCATTGATAAGACATCTTCAGCATGTAAATGTACCATTTTATATTTCATTACATTTATTCCTTTGGAAAGAAAGAGACAGATTAAAACTATGTTAAGTTTCCAACAACAAAAGCATGGAATGCTATTATCTGTCAAATATTGACATTAGCAGCAAAATACATTTTTTGTAATACGTTCCGTTCCAAGTAAATATGGCATTTAATAAAACTGAATTTAAAAAAAAAAACAAAAAAACGGAATGTAAATAAATACTATTTATTTCTACCCTCCAAAACTCGTAACTAATGGGTAATGACATAAAATGTTCGACATTTTAAAAATAGGCTCATTACAGGCTAAGGCCACTTGCATCCTATCCCTAGAAGTTGTCGCGGAGAACCTAACGGGTAACCGGGGCTCCGACTCGACGTGCAGGAGAAGGAACGGGGTGGTTTTAAGTCAGTCTGACACTTCCTCCCGCCTCACCCAGGCGGGAGCAGACATTCGATGATTTTCCCCCCTTAAAAAAAATCCCTAGAAGTTCATCAGCAAATATTTTGTTCCAGAGGGTTGGGGGTAGGGTTTTCAAAGAATTTGTGCATCTAGCTAGAGGCTGCGATTTTTTGCAATTGATAATTGTCATATTTAAATAAAAGACCCAATTGAATAATATAAACTTTATATATATTTTCAGACATAAATGAAGTCTTTTAAATAATACAGTCATAAATATGTAAATAATTTAATAATTTTGGTGTCAGCTGTACGCAAACGCTAAAAGTTGACTTGTCGGCGTCATTATAATCGTTTGCGAACAACAATGTTCATATCCTTTTGCACACGGAGGGTGTCGCTAGCGTTAAAATGATACAGTAATTATATATCGATATACTTTGTGGTACATAATACTGCAATCCCTAACCCACAAGAGATTATGATAAACGATCTTATGTAGAGAAACTATATTCCAGCAGTGAACTGTCGCCGGCTGATGCTGACGATACTTTGTGGATTAAGCGCGTCATACGATACACTCCAAATGCAAAACGAGTATTCAATATTTTTATTTTAATCAGTAACACTTATAGCTACAGGAGGTATAAACCGCCAAATGTGGCTGACTTCTCCGGCGCAAGGCTGTATTATCGATGGGTGTTCAGTTTCCTTGATGAGCGGAACTTCGTCAAGTATCGGTTCAGTAGTGGAGCATTGAATGTCGATTTTATATTCGCCTGGAGTTAGGAACACAACGGTGCACTCGTGGTATGCCTTTGCTGACTCTGGTAATGTTGTGAGTACCACTCTGAAAGGAAAATAAAAACGATTTAAGGATTTGGTTAACTATTTAAGTGTGATTTTGTGTGAAAGAAAAAAGTCCAATATGATGTTAATATGTCTGAAAAAGGGCTTTATGTAACTACGAAACACTAGGTCAATTATTAATCCTCAGTCCAAAAGATTTCATGTCCATATTATATGTTTCGAAACTCTTTTTGTAGTTGACAGCCCACTTAATGCCTCCAGTTTTGCAGGTTACCTAGGCTAGGCTACGCTATGGTGACGGTTTACCATGCTTTGTTGCTACCGTAAAGGTTGTATGTACTTACTTATTATTCCCAGCGGTAGCAACTCTGTTATCAAGTTTGTAGCTCAGTACTCCGTTGTTATAGTCCTGGTAGAACTGTACGGACAGGCACAGTTTGTGTAGAGGTCTACTGAGATGGTTCCACACTGCCACTCCTAGGGACAGACACTCTCCCGCCGTACAGTTGTATTCTTCTTGCGGCTTTATACACTGGCTGTTGACACTCACTTCTGTATAGGGAGAAATTAAAACACTAATGAAGTATGTTTTAAATGCTAGAGTTTTTGTTTTGTACATGGTTGTTGCGTAATTTTAAGTGATTCTATTTTGAGCAAGCTAATTATGTAACATTTGTTGACAATTCTTAAATAATTAATTACTGAAACTTTAGAGTTCTTATTTATTACTATTTGTCTTTGTAGCCAGGGCTAAAAACATAATTATGATGTTGGTGTTATAAATCTAAAAGCTAATAAATAAACATAAAGTCATATAAGCTTAACAATTTCCTATTTAATCAATAAATTAATCAACCGGATCTTTTGGTAGCAAACTTCAGTCTACTAGTGATTAAACCATTATAATAATTAATTTACTATTCAAGAAATCATAAGTACTTTTTGTTAGACACGTGAAAGGGAACTTTGTACATGTTTAATAGCTGTCTTTAAACGTGCTAACCGCCATAGCTTGTAGTTTCATTTCTCACTTACCCCAATTCAACGGCGACATTCTAACAATGTCCATCATGGCTTGTGATAGCGTGATGCCCTTGACGGACGCTCGGCCCGTGATGTCCGACTGCATCAGATGCCAGCGCAGCGATATATTGTTTGTAATGTGCTCCGAACACATCAGCTCCAAGCTGTTTGTAGATGAACCCGTGTTTATTGATTTAGATTCAACGAGATCTGTAAAGGAACATTAATTTAGAAATTGGTTTTTGTTAGGTAAGTACATCTACATATCACTAGCTTATGCAAGTGATTTCGCTGGCGTGGTAGTCCAAAATTAATTGGAAAAAGTAGTCTAGATCAATCAAGTAAACAAATTATGTAACTTTTTTAAAATCAAAGTTACTGGTTTCAAATAACAGATGTCGCTAGAATACCTTCGTCAGCAGGTTTGTTGGCTGTAGCATTGAAGGGACATCGGTCTAGTGGCACGGGCACTCGACACGACTCCTTGCTCTCAATCAGGATGTGTTTGCTCGGAGCGTAGTGGAAATCCATCTCCTCAGATGTCAAGTTTGTCACGTCGAGTACTAGGTAAAGTTGAGAAGGACTGGAAAAATTAGAAATAAATGTTTTCTCACAATTATCTATTTACCTGCGTGGGAACAAAGTAAAAGTTCTAGATAAGACAGAGCAAAACTAATAGACATATATTGCAGAACTAGGAAACTAATTAAAAGTGTGTGAATAACTTTTATTTAAATTTATATTTACGTAATGATACACTTACATCTCTGCCGGCAGAACATCCCAGTGTGTAATAGATACGCTCGGAAGAAGTTCCAAGTTGATTTGAAGAGTCGATTGACGGCAGTGTGTCTCTTTACCTTCGCCTCCCGAATATCTGATTATTAGCTGTAAAAAATCAATTATTTAATTTATTAGGTACTTGTAAATAATTATGTTGGGTAAAGTTAGAAATATACATTTGAATAAGATAATATATAAAACACTTGTATACAAAAGTCATGGGAAATAATTGTTTGTATTGTACCTGCGTTTCTACTTGTCGCCCCCTAGATGGCGACATCACTGAAATTGGAGCCGACCAACTTGTTGTGTGTGAGTTTGTTGACCTAAAACGCATTACAAGAATTTATAAAATCAGTCACATAGTTCAATGGTGCTATTATATTTATGGATATTGTGGATCATATTTGCGAGCTTACTTATGAATAACAAGGAAATCAATGAGGGTCTGAATAGCCTAAACATATGATTACCTGAAGCTGCCTGAAGTCCTGTTAGGTATAAGTCCACTACTCAAAGACGTTTGCGGATTCGAGCTCTGAGTTGGTAGCGAAGTTTGAGCATTAGGTACTGGAGACCCGACCCTTGATGGATAATTTGAGTTCAAACTATTGGGGAACAAATTTTCACCCCCAACACCGCCCAAGTCCAAGAAATCTGCTTCTCCATACAACTTTATGGTGATAGTCGCAGTCTCATTTGGTGGGATTGGTAGAAGAGATTGTATGTCCTCATTTGAATACTGGAATACTTTTGATTGGAGTTGGCTGTCCATGTTAGACTGGAAATGAAATGAAAATGAAACAAGTTCAAGTTTGACAGAGGAAATACCATATTACATAATACACAGCAAAACATAATGTTATGTATGGACCCTTACCTGAATAGCCAACTCAAGGTGTTCAATATTAACATTACTAGTATTGGTAATCCTTATAGAGCAGTCAGTACTTTCTCCATTAAACAGCGAGATATTCGTGGTACTGCCAACATTCTCCACGCTAGACAGGTGCGAATTCCCAGAGGGCGCTACTAACGTCTCGATTGTAATGGTGGGCAAACTTGGTATCACTTCGATGGTGTAAGAGGCGGGGAACTTATGGGGCGTTGGCATGTTTTTCAGACGACAATTCGACTTAACACCTAATGTATGTGTTGAATATCCTAATATCTGCAACTCTCCTACTTCTTTTGGCGTCCCGTGTAGGTTTACTGTTGTTGGGGAGTCCGGTGGGAGGATTATTGTCTCCGGTATAGATTCGAATACAACGCCTGACGTTAAAAGTCTCATGTTTGACACTTTCAGCTCAAATGGTAATGGGTTTGTGAGCTTCATTTGCACTTCGCATATGTCATCTTCTACCCACAGGTATTCTGAAATGGATAATAAAATATATTGGATCTCGAATTCATTTAAAAGACTAGGGTTGAAGGTGTGCAACAAAGATTAATAAAATTAACAAAAATATTTTATCAGTTATTATTGAAAAAATATCCAAATAAAATGTTTTCTTCAGTACATTGACATGCTCTAATCACCATTTTATTGTGCTGCTATAAAGTCGAAAATCTATTGAAGAAAGGCAGTTTGGGGTAGATCAATATCTATATCTACACCTAAAAATAATCATTTGTATGGTCTTACCCATTTTCCCCTCATCCTTTTTAGCATTTCTCTCCAAACTGCCGAAGTGTATGGGTGTGAATATGAACGGCCCGTGCGTAGGCTTGGCCTGCCTTAGATGCGGCGCCCGCGCAGGTGGGAGCGGACGAGTGTTGAACCACGAACAATGAGGCACATGGGTCAAGTTTGCAGGAGGTATCACTTCACCTGTTTCTAGGACTAGGGGAACTGGCCCACCCTCACATTGTGCTGACAAAGCCTAAAAATTATAATATCAACATAAAGCAGTGTTTCTAGTGATCTTGATCAAAGAAGTGATTTGGAAGAAAAAAACGTGTCCAATTTCTTACTGCTCCTTTAGTTTACTGTATGAAACGTAAATATCGAGTTGAGTGGCGTGCTATGAAACAATTATATCCAGCAGTGTGCGGAATCATGGCTGATGATAATGCTAATAACTAAGTATCCATTTACTTTTCAGTCTATTATTCCTAGTCGCTCTGAACTTTACCTGTAGCTGTATGGCTAACTCTCGGTGTTCCTGCCTGGACAGATGTGGCCACATGGTCTGCAGTAGGAAGGTCATATGTCTGGTCGCGAGAGCGGGGTGTCCCATGCGGCGGGAGGCTACTACCAGCTCTTGTAGTAACTGGATTTGAAGTGCCGGCCAACCTGTTAATAATAAAATTGATGTTAAAATGGAGGAAAAGAAGTTACCTAATGTTCTTTGATTTAGTTGTTCTGAATTTCACTTTTCGAGAGATGAGATTAAACTAAGTGGTACGAACGGTACCTTTAATACTGATGTGCCTTTAAAATTTAGTACCTGTAGTTTCTTTGCCTAAGGATGTGAATTGGAATAGTCTGTCAAAGACGATGATAATAAATAACTTACCAACTTGATGTTGTATGACGTAGTTGGGATCCAAACTGAGCTTGTACCCTGGGAAGCTATGCAGCATCAGATAGTAACATTTCTGCCAGTCTGGACTCGGATTGTTGGGGCTCACCTGTCGAGTGGCGGCCAGGCGCTGACAAAAACCAGCCTTGCGATGGAAACCTAGAATATTAAAACATATTTAATAAGAAGCTGAAAAGGAAGTGCATAGTAATCCGATATTTATCAAGGCCAAGAAATTCTGTCAACTTGAAAGTCATACTTTAAGTTTGATCGCCTTTCTTAATCTCAAAATATGATTACCGAATTTTATTTGAAACAAGATAGAAGAATCACGGTTAGTAGTGATTTAGTTTAAAGGTTTTTTTTGCCCCACACTAAGATTTTCTCCTGTGTCGTGGGTGCGTTTACAAACATACAAGTTCATATACACATTACCTCCAGACACGAAACACCAATTTATGGATCACACGAAGTGTTGTTCCGTGCGGGAATCGAACCCGCGACACGTTGCATGGCCGCCGGTTGCCCAGCCACCGCACCAACCGTGCAGTCAAAGGATTTGCAGTCAAAAGGTATTATGATTAAAGTTTAGTATTACATCAACTCACCAATTTCCTTATAAAGTTCCGCCAAAGTTTCGAACCGCTGAATCTTCTCCTGTTCGCTCAAAGTCAAATTGATAAAAATAACATTTTGTAAGAAACTGGAAGCATGTAAACTGTTACACTGTTCTACTGCAATCCTGGCCGCTTTGAAGCAAGCCTCGGTTTCGATCACACCAGCATTCTTATACTTGCTATAGTCCATTATGGCTTCGCGATATTTCTCAGCGATTTCTTCTCCGTTTAGTAAAAATTGATTAGTAATTTGAGAAGGTGGTTGTCGAGGAATAGATGGGAGGTCGGGAGCTAGGAAAGACTTGTGGCTTTGGTACTCAATATCGCTGGAGGACGCAAGAGATTCAGAGTCCGCATTGTCAGTTTCCGATTGTCTAGAGGAGGTCTCGACACTGTCTGAAGAAGTGGGGGTCAATTCACTCGGTGGATTGACGGGACTAGAAGTTTTCGATGTCCTTAAGGGAGAAGAATTAAGCTTCAATTTCCTTAAAGAGTCAGAATTAGGTTGAAATAGAGAGAGCTGCTTCGCTTTGTTAGGAGAATTTTCTTGGAGACTTGCGTTCCGATGTAAGGGGGTGGGATTCCGAAGGTTCGGATAAAGAAGTATTGCTGAAGCTGTGCAGAGGCCTGTGAACAATATTTTAATGTAAATAAATATCCGAAAAATAAATGTTTTCTAATGTAAAATGATTAAAACGAAGTTCAATAAAGCCTCCGAAATCTTTACCTTCTTTGGCTGCAGCCAGCCACAGCCAGTCAGTCTTGAGTAGTTCAGTGGAAGAGTTATATAGACTCAAACTGTCTGCAACTAGACCGGCTTGAAGCGTCAGATCTGCCAGGTTCTTGGTCACACGGCCCATACAACGTTTCTTATTGTTACGTGACTCCATGTCGAGACCTAAGGGAAGTAAAATGTGTTGTGTTACTATGGTAACGATAGAGTAGAATATATATATATTTGTCTACCACCCCAATACAAATCTCTGACACAAAAAGTTTTAATATTAGAGCAGCTTAAACTGTCAAACACCAAGCGGTCACCGGTGACCGCAACCTATTGTTCTATAATTGTGTCTATAATGACGGTACTCGACGAGTTAAACTGCATCAATGACAAATTTATACACCACAAAAGTATATTTAAACTCACCAACAAAATCTTTCTTCTCGAAAGGCGCCAGTAACAATGAAACTTTGTCCAATTTCTCCTTGGACCTCTCCAAACGTTTGGACTCTACCACCCAGAACAGAGAGTTGATGAGGTCAGCTACATTTTGTTCTAGATCTGGCACTGGGTCATTCTCCCCATAGAACATGGCATGGGTCTTGAAGTTGGATGGAGTAGTGAAGTGTTCCTCTTGTAGTGGGTATGAGGAGTTTGAAGATGTGGATGGAGGGAAGCTTTCTAAGGAGGTTAGACTGTCTGCTTGATCACTTGGTAGAGATGCTCTGTAACAAATATGTACAGGATATAAATACATACTTTTTACTTGGGTTTTAGCATAAGAATATGGGTTCGAGGCAAATAGTATATTTGAAAAGTTCAACATAAATAATATTAAAATTAAAAACGTTTATTTTCATGAATAAAATTTATCTATCTTCATTATTTCGTCAAAGTGCTGTCTAGCAGTGAATAAATGGTGTGATATTATGTCAATTTTAATTTTATCTTGTATAGAAAAGATGATTGAGAGTAAATACTACACTTAAAATAAATGAACTAGAGCCTTATCCCATTAGTCTATTTCATAAGTAATTTTTATCAATACATACTTATCACTGGTCCCATCTTTCAAAGGCTTGTCCTCCTCATAATAGCTGTAAGTCTCAGGTTCCTGTTCTGGTTTCTTCATGTTACTGACCGGACCGAACATGAAGGCGCGCGAGTCATACAGGGTGTTGGAATATTTCACCTTTAGTGATTCATGGACTCTGCATACTTCATTCAGTTCCACTTGGTTTGTGAACTTACTTAGTGTTATTAGACCTAGTAATCGCCTGTGGAAGGAAAATTAAAGTCTTCTTACTGTAAGTGTAAAGCCTTAACCGTAAAAAGTCATAAATCTTACTCACAGTAGCAGATTCGTACAAATTGTGGACTTTTACACACCTACTATTTGATTATTGATTTACCTAAGGTAAAACATAGCTTAGTTTTTGTCAGGGACCTAGAACTTTCTGATATACCTATAACTTTATATTATTCCAAAATATACTATACATTTTTTTACAACTGACTTAGACTGCCTCGTTGGCCGAGTGGTCGCAAGTGCGACTGCCGGGCAAGGGGTCTCGGTTTCGATTCCCGGGTCGGGCAAAGTAATACTGGGTTTTAAAAAAAATCTCAGTAGTAGCACGTAGTCTGTAATTGTGCCCGATATATGGCAATAAATAGGCTCCTATTACATGGGACTCATAACATAAATAGTGAAAAGTGGGTGTTACATTGTACACCTCTGCCTACCCCTTCGGGGATAAAAGGCGTGATGATATGTTAATTTTTTACAAAAATTTTAAAATTAAGAATTTAATTTTTATACCAAACAATTTATTTAATCCCCGAACATTAAAATTAACGATTGTACAAAATAATAGACAGTGCTGCCAATGCATTTTGTAACAATATATTTCCTAATTGCACCAATACAAGTAGTTTTGTACATATTGGGAGTTAGCACTACCAATTAACTTCATATTGAACATTTTGACATCATTTCAAGGAAGTAAGCCTTCCTATTGTATTGCATTTTAGTTACAATGTATGCAGTTTTAGCACAAAGGAAAATATACTCTATGATTAATAGAATAAGTCTCATCATTGATTTTATTTTATAGTTACTGCAGCGCAATGCAGTGAGTTAAAAAAAAGTCATACCGAGTTTGTATTTTTTGTGATCAAATTCTGATTAGAAATTCTGTTTTACAAAATATTAAAGGAAAGATAGATACTTTCAATTACTTGTTAGTAGTAGATCAGTACCATAGGATTACATTGGGTATACTTGTCTATACTTTATAGAAGCAAGAGGCATGAAGATAAGTGTATTAACACTAATATTGTTACTTGATATACAACCTATAAAGAATATTATTCGTTAATTCCAAGTAATATTAGCAAACATTTGCGAAATTATGTGCCCACCCGTGTCCAATCAAACTATCAGCTATGTAATCACCAATTACTTGTGTGTAGACTGTGTAGGTGGAATCTTTAAGTACTACTTTGTAGGCTAATTTTGTTACGTATTCTCAATTAATTTTAAAGAGCTATTTTGTTTCAAATTATATTTGCATATATCTCTAGATTCTTTAAAAGTTAATTCTCAATGAAATTTTTGGCTGTATGGTTTCCTCCAACATTTGAAGTACAAGTTTTAAGGAATTAATAGAAGTATTACTTAATTTTTTTTTTGCTTTTTGTAAGTAAAATTATCTTTTATCTATCTATCTAGTCAGAAGTGTCCATTAAGTTGTAGGAAAATATTATTTTTACTCAATTTCATACCTAAGTATTAAATAGCCATTGAAACTTTAGTTGTTTGACAAATTACCTGTGAGTTTGGAAATCACCCCAATCATTGTTCTCCACAGGATAATCTCGGACATATCTCACCCATATGTCTCTTACTTGGCCAGTTGAATCTACAAGTAAAATATAAGCATAACATAGTTACGCAATATCAGATATCACCATACATCATAAAGGAATTAATGATTTGAAATGCCTAGTTACATTTCTGAATAATTCAAATGTATTACAGACATTACAATTCTAACATTCATTGCATGTTAAAATTCCACTCATATTACGACCCACTGACATGATCTAGTTTCTGAATTAATAAGAAACGAAGGTGTTTATTGTACTCACCAGTAACTTTAATATTGTTGACCCTCTGTATCCTCTCCCAGAGCTTGTTAAAGTTCTTGAGCATCCCGCCGATGCCCTTGACGAGCACCAGCAGGCACGCATGGTGCTGGGCATGCTGTGAGTAGTCAGGGTGCGACATCACCGACTCTCCTGGCGCGTGAGACAGAATGTAGCTCACCGAAGAGCGCATTGATATCTCATTTGATTATCAATCACGATATTTAACTCGTTTCACAGCAATTTCACTATCCATCGCCAATATGTTTAATTCTCAACGACCCCTTAGTGTTTTTAACAAAGAATATTTAAGATAATGTATATTTATTGATATTTGTTTACGTCGCGACTTTTCCTTAACGTAACGGGGCGTATTTTGACATCTAATTAGACTTTTATTTTTTGACAGCTGTCACAGCTGAGCTATTTGACAAATTGTTGACATTACTTGTAACGTACTAAAATATGTTCTTTTAAACTCTATGACTATTTCTTCATATTGTTATTGTTTCATTGTTGTTTGTTTGTACAATTACAAAAGCCAATGTTTTGCTGTTTCAGAGAAACTATGCAGTATGTTGTATAAAAGTTGCGAGAACATGTATACATACATTATCTGACACTACATTAGGTATTCTAAAAAAAAAAGAAACGTAATTTTAACAAATTGATATTTTTAGCATTTTTGTCCTATCCTAATATTTATACAAAATAATGTAAATTGAATGAATAACGAATGAATTGACTAGTTTAGATATTTTTCATCTATGGTTTAGAGTGTATTTTTCATTCATCTGTGGAATGAATGTCAAAGTAAGTAAAGTAACCTCAAAATTCTATCGGTTGCTCGTCGTACTGTTTTGAGACGCCGAATAGTTTTATGATCGTATTATTTTAACTGAATTCAGTAATTTTTCCATAAAATGGCTTCCAAAGAAGGCGGTGACAAAGGAAAGGTAACCAAGTCACTGTAGAATCCTGTATTTATTACACTTTAATTGTTTCAGCATACCTGAAACTTGATGTTTATCTAATATTGTGATTATAATATCTAGTCTTTTCAGGGTGCTGGAGATAATAAAGAAAAGAGGAGGAAGGAGTCTATTCTTGACCTTAGTAAATATTTAGAGAAGAGCATTCGTGTCAAATTCGCTGGTGGGCGAGAAGCGGCGGGAATACTAAAGGGATACGATCCACTTCTAAACTTGGTTTTGGATAACACCACAGAATTTCTAAGAGGTAAAGTTTCATATTTTATCCCTTATTGCTTTGTAATATAATACTACAACGACGATAAATAACAATATATGTACTTACATTTTAAATTGGGAACAAAAATATTAGTTTGTGTACTAAATGCTTCCTTCTTGTCTTATTCACTGTATGAAAAAAAGTTAAGGTATGTGGAGAGTCAATAATAATTGTAACTACAAAGGTAACATGTGTTTGAAGAATACACATTGAATATTTGAGTCTAATTTTATATAAACCACATTAACTGTCAAACACCGCGCGGTCACCGGTTACCGCAACCTATTGTTCTTTGATTGTGTCTATAATGACGGTTCTCAATGAGTTAAATTCTTCAGATAACTATTCATGAATGTATATTATATCTTAACCCTTTGAGTACCATCATTATACAATAGGTTAATATACAATAGGCAATAGGGTATTCATGAATGTATATTATATCTTAACCCTTTGAGTACCATCATTATACAATAGGTTAATATACAATAGGCAATAGGGTGTTTGACAGTTTAAATTCCTAATAAATATGATATTTGGTTATTAAAAATTGGGTTTTAAGTCCTATTTACAAATTATTAACATCACTTGAATTGTTTAGACTATAATGTTAAACTGTCAAACACCAAGCGGTCACCGGTGACCGCAACCTATTGTTCTATAATTGTGTCTACAAAACCGGTACTCGATGAGTTAAGACAAAATAAATTAATGTGTCATCTCTGATCCTTAACAATATTCAATTTATTAGCAGATCAAACAGAATCTAGCTTCATAAACCATTTTTAACATCAAAAAATAATTGATTTACAGATCCTGATGATCCCTACAAACTGCTAGATGACACAAGAGCACTTGGTCTGGTTGTATGCAGAGGTACCTCCGTTGTTCTAATATGTCCGATGGATGGCATGGAAGCTATTCCAAATCCTTTCATAACTCAGGAAGGATAATATTTACTTATTTAAGTGTATACCTTACTTTAAGCTGTAATTATAAATTAAATTAAGTAAATATTAAAATAATAAGAACATAATTATGGTATTTTTATTAAAACAGACACAATTTCTAAACCATTCTACTTAATAAATTATTGCACACATACATGTAAAATGTCTTGTAGTTTTTTAATTAAATACTGTGAGAATAGGTAAAAACATCACTGAAAAGTGAAACAAACTTATATGGTACTAGCTTTTACCCGCGGCTTCGCTCGCGTCACAAAAGGATAAAAAGTAGCCTATGTGACACAACACACAGCGCCACCTATACCAATGATTTCGTTTTTCCTCGAGAATATCAAATTTTTCTGGGATAAAAAGTACCCTATTATTTAATCCAGACTTCTAATTTTATGTCTGCAAAAATTCAAAGCAATCGGTTTAGTAGTTACGGCGTGAAAGCGGAACAAACAAACGAACTCACTTTCCGATTTATAATATTAGTAAGGATGTGTTTATGAAACAGATGTCTTGATATTCTTACATATAAATTAAGAAAATAATAAAAGGTAAAAAGAACTCAGGTCCCCTATCAAATTATTCTAGATTAAGGTTGGTAACTTGTGTATTTTGAATAAATTAAATAATAATATAATAATTAATCAAATCCAAATTCGTTTCTTATCCACGGATAGCTCTTGGGACATTCGGTGCAGGTGATCATATATTTGTCATGTTGCAACACTTTAGATGGTAATTTACACGTGTTAGGCTTGCCACACGCGATTTCTGATTCTTCGAAATGTTGCTCTTTGCACTGCCATGGCTGGAACTTCTTCAGCTGTAGAGCTGGTGTGGGTCTCTTGATCCAGTCGATCAGTTCTTTGTAAGTTACAAAGTAGACATCTGGTACTCTCGCCAATTCTGATATGAATTTCTGAAAAATGAAAGTAATTTTTATTTAAAGTATTTAATAGATATAGTATTTACGCTTGGAAATATCTAATAATAGGCTAGCATCATTTTACATCTGTTTCTGTCAAAGACCGATATTCTCGATTTAAATCTATTTTTGGAGAGGGGTAGATAAAATAACTTGACAATTAGGTAGTATAGATACCTTGAAAGCCTGTAAATATTCATTATTCTTAAACCAAGTGGAGTTCAAGTGAATGCCGAATGGAGCTCTGTTCTTCAGGTAATGCCTCTTGAAGTTGTTCACCAGTAAGTTGTACACGTCTTCACCAGACATGGTGGATGGGCAGTACTCCAGCGTGGCACATGTATGGTCACCATTCGAAAGAGGGTTGATCACCATCTCCCATATCCCTGCATAACTTCGCGTGGGGCAATATTGATTGTTACCTGAAAAGTAGTTGTGTGTTAGAGTATCGGATTCATATCGATTTAGTCTTTCAGGCCTAAATAATGACTACCTAGTTAGGGCAAGACACTGGCGATGTCTTTGACTTTAATTTTAGAACTTCATTCCAATTAAAAGAGCTGCGTGCAACACACAATAAGGCCTAAGACTTCCTATTCTTGATTCTTGTCAATATATTCACCCCTTAGGGATAATATCTTTCGCAATACAACTGTACATAGTCCAGTGTTCACTAGAGTGTGAAGTGCATTTCACAGTCTTACTAGTGCACGGCACTATAAACAAATATCATTAACGCCTTGCCATGACGAGTTTCTAACGTCGCGTTGTCGTATTTAAAGGTAAAAGTAGTAGTAACACCTACAAAAAGGTTCAATCTATACTAATATTATAAAGAGGAAAGATTTGTATTTTTGTATGTTTGTAATGAATAAACTCAAAAACTACTGGACCGATTGCAATAATTTTTTCACCATTAGAAAGCTGCATTATTCAGAAGTAACATAGGCTATATAATATCACGCTAGGTCCTATAGTTGTGGAGCAGTAACCAAAAATGTTTTAAAAACGGGGGAAAAGTATCGTTTCTGAGGCCTTCCGTGGCGTGCGCTGAGCATATAGTTAAAGTTATACAAAAATGCTCTATAGATGAATTGTTCATCTTAACATTATTTTTAAAAAAGTCCGCGAGAGCATTTGTCTACCTTTTATAGTTTACCCATAACAATCGTTTTAATGAATGGTTAAATCCTTATAAAAGTTTGCTCTAGATAACTTTTGAATTGTTCAATCGGTTACCTTAAGACTATTAATTCATCCAAAAGATACCTATTAGGTAAGTACTTACCTACTATTTCAAAAATAATAAACTGAGAATAAATATAAATAAAACGTAAAACTATGTAAAAAATCTTAAATCCCCGTGCGAAGCCGGGACGGGCCGCTAGTTACTTATATAGGAGTTTGTCTCTAATCTTAAAAGGTTGTAGTAGTTCTGAGGAGTGCCAGGTACTGTAGGTAGGTACCTAAGCTCAATTTCGTCCGTACTAAACAAGTAATCTCTGTAAAACAAACTTTGCTCTCCAAACCTCAGTCGGATGCTGTGTAATGACTGTGAGTGTCATCATTACACACACACTCAGACTCAAAAAGTTTGACCGAATCCGCGACACGTTGAACAGCAATAGGTTGTAGAACCACTGCACTTTAATGCGCTAACCGTACCTACTTTCAATTTCAAGTAGCAAAAAGTAACCATAGAACTGGACTGACCAGCAAATTGCTTTACATGGCACATTATTTCCACCTACAAAGTATTTAAGGTACAAAAGAGAAAGGGTATTTATACTTCGAGTTGCCTAAACATTAGCCTAAGTACTTGTAAATATTACAATAACGACGCTAGATTTGATTGAAACGTGATTCCAAAGCGCTGTAATTCCGCATTCCAGGTAGTTATGCGTAATATCAGAGACAATAGGCGCGTAGAACGCAATCTCTCTTCGGCAGATGCGCGTGCGACGCATCGTCATCGACAATCACTGCTCATAACATCTTACTTAACCACTCACACGCTCTACTTATTACGATGCATCGAGATAAATCAATACTATTTACCAGTGTAAAGTTTTTATGTGGCTCCTTTTAGGTATAAACTTTTGGCCAATAGGTATATTAGGAAGGTCATACAGCGGCATAGGGAGTGAGTTGCAACATAGCGTGTTTGCTTATATTTTGGTTCTCTCTCCTATTCCTAACCAAAAGAAAAGGACATAACACGGTTTAATTCTTCATTAAAACTTCGTTACAATGGTATCAAAAAATCGTCTTACCAGTACACTGATGTGGCATCTTATAATCCAGTGTGTAAGGCCACAGTGGAGGGTCAGACAGCGGCGCCACTACAGTAGCGTCGTACACAAACCCGAACTCCTGCATCATCAGGAATTGTCTGTTCCAACCCACTGACAGGAACGGTACGCGCATTCCTCTGTGGAAGGTTGGTCTAGATAATTTAACTTGTAAATAGGTAAATACCTAGTTATCCGTCATCCCTTATATAAATGTAGAAGACTGCTTACCTACATTTAACATAGCGCATTTATGAATGAATGAATCAAAGTAAAGCAAATAGAAAAAGACAATAATTTTTTAAACTATCCCCTTAACTTTTGAACCCAGTACTCCTTACTCCTTTACTCCTTACTACCTTACAGTACCAATCTCATTCGTTTACCTAAAAGAAAAGCACATTACATTCGATATGAAATACCTGAAATCCTCCATATGAACCCTGGCGAACCTGTTCATCAAATTCGCTTCGCCAACCATTTCGTCAAACCAGTCTTCGACGGTAGCATTTTTGGACCACCAATCTTCTGGACCCCGGCGACTGCAAAATTCAGAACAATGAATAGGTATCGAAGAAAATTCAGAAACGAAGATTTATATAGTTAACCTGATATATAAAGATCAAAATCTATTCAAGAAATTTTACAGGGTAATTGATGAGACCGATGCTTTAAGTTTGGCGCCTTGACGTTTGTCTGGTGGCACGCGGCTGAAACGAACTAGCCCTAGGACTAGTTGTGTAACTATTTTACAGCACCGACCAAAGTTTAATCACATTGTTAGGTTTGGTTCATCAATCACTGATCGTGACCAGTTTCTGTTAATCAATTTCCATGACATCATCTAATTCTTTCAGCAAAAGCGTCTACTTGTTCTTATACAATACGTAATGAACAAGCAATATGTATTCTCTTCACATACTACTACAGTCTTAATCCATTTTCTGTTACTTCATCACTTTGCTAACGATTTCTATTGACATAAGTAAGTACATACATAACTTACGTTATTGAGTTAACTGCTATCTCATGTCCGTCATTCCACAGCTTTTGTACGTGTCTGTAATTCGTGTATGGGTGTGAAACGAAAAATGTCGCCTTAATCGGACAACCGTTAGGGTTCTTCCTCTCCGGAGTGAACAAGTGCTTTGTGTAGGCGTCCCAGTTTTCATGGTTTACTGGGCCATCGAATGTTAGGGTTATCATTTGTGGAGTCTGGAAATGGAAAAGGTATTAAAAATAAAATATTCCAATTCCTTTTAAAGAATAAAATCGAAATTTTGTGAACAAGTTTTACCTGACTGGGAACTAGATTTCCAGGGATTTCATCGCCATGTTTTGAGCAGAAACAATCCGGTAGCATGCACATGTTAGGGTCACATGGTTCTGCTGCATTCGGATCGTAATTCACATCGCACCAACCCTACGGCATGGAAAGTGATTTTGTATCAATCTAGATGAATGACACCGCAATAAAATGATCGTGAAAGTATAGAAATTAAGGTGATGATTAGAAACTGAATGATACAGATTAGTGTTACTAAATAATTTGCAAGTCATAATGAAGCGATAACTCGTAAAATTATTTATTAATCTGAAACATGATGATGGAACTTTACCTCGTCAGATGAATCCATGCAGTCTATGGATCCGTCGCAGAAATATTCAGCTGGAATACAATCGCCATTTGCACATCCAATGTGGGTATCATTGGCACAATCAGCTGCATCTAGAAGGGGCTTCGGGATCCGTGTCTCTGAAATTAATATGAGGTTTGCAAAATAGATCGAAGTGATCTGGGTCAGAAGGATCATCAGAAATTCAAACAAAAAATGTAGTAACTCTGACTCGCTGTTGACTT